TCAGACTGGTTGAGATGCGATGAGAAATGGCTGTTGGATCTATTATTAGCAATGTTGGCGCCTGAGGACCTGAGGGTTGGGAGCTGTGTGGTACAGTGCTGGCCCCATGGCCAAGAAGCTGGTGAGTACATGGCCTACAAGCTGGTGAGGAACAGAGGAGAATGACAACAATGAAGATGGAGAGAAGCGGCCCCTGAGAAGCAGGGGCTGAAGGAGTAGCTGTGTTACTGGTTGAGGGTCTTGATTATGAGTCGTCCAGGTTCTTGGCATTTTGAACAAAGAACTGGACAAAATGCACAAAGAAAGCAACAAGAGAATGAAGCAAAAGATTTAACAAAAGCACAAGAGTACACTCTACAGAGTGGGAGTAGGCTTTAACAAGCAGCTGAAGAGCCTTGGTTACAGAATTTTCTAGGGTTTAAATACCCTTTAGAGGTTTCCCACTGGTTACTTGGTTACACCCTATGTAAATGAAAACCTGGCCCACGACCAGTCTGATTGGTTGTGGGAGGGGACCAATTAGAGGTACTTTCCATTTTTCATCTGTGAGGCAGTGGAAAGGCGAGGTTGTAAAGGGAGTGGCTTCTGATCCTTTCCTTACTTGGGCATGGAGAGGTGGGGTTTTGTTTTGATTCAGTTCTCGGAAGTCAGTGCAAGTTGGCCTTAGGTTCCTGCCTCTAGACCCTGTTGTCCTGCCTCAGCTGGGCACGTTTGTACAGGAGAGCCTCAGTAACCACTCAGATAAACACCTGAAGCCAAATATACTTGAAGTTGAGAGGAGAGATGAGGGGCACATGAAATATTAATCAATATAAAACAAATAGCCAGGCAAGGTGGCTCACACCTGTAATCCCAGCACTTTGGGAGGCTGAGGCGGGCGGATCACAAGGTCAGAAGATCGAGACCATCCTGGCTAACTCAGTGAAACACCATCTCTACTAAAAAAAAAAAAAAAAAAAGAAAAAATTAGCCGGGTGTGGTGGCACGCGACTGTAGTCCCAACTACTCAGGAGGCTGAGGCAGGAGAATTGTTTGAATCCAGGAGGTGGAGGTTGCAGTGAGCCAAGAGTGCACCACTGCACTCCATCCCAGGCTACAGAGCAAGACTCAGTCTAAAAAAGAAAAAAAAATTGTTATAAGTTTGGGCATGGTGGCTCATGCCTGTAATCCCAGCATTTTGGGAGGCTGAGGCAGAAGAATTGCTTGAGCCAGGAGTTTGAGATCAGCCTGGGCAACATAGTGAGACCTTGTCTCTACAAAAAAATAAATAAATTAGCCAGGTGTGATGGCACATGCCTGTCTGTAAACCCGGTTATTTGGGAGGCTGAAGTGGGAGGATCGCTTGAGGAGGTTGAGGCTGCAGTGATCCATGACTGTGCCATTACACTCCAGCCTGGGTGACAGAATGAGACCCCATTTCAAAAATAAATTCAATAGAAATTGTTAGCTACTTATTGGGACTACAGGTGAAATGGGCCCATGGACCATTCTTTTGGATAAATATCGACATTGATCCTTCTGCTGCTAAAGCTTGAAACTTGTATTTGTTTTGTCTAAGTTCCTTTCTCAGGAAAGGACTTTCAGGCCTCTCAAACATAGGATCAGAGAACTGAAATAGGTCAGAACCTTCCCATTTATCTGTCACCCAGTCAGGTCCCCCTGAATGGTGGCCAGATTGCTTAAAAGAGACTAAAACCAAAGGCATTTTTTGTACATCTGATGCAACAGGTGTTTTAACAGATGGGGGCACCAGATGCCCTCTTGCCCCTCCCTCGTTCTTACTTTCTTACACATTGTTACATTTGTTCCCTGCTATGTACACTCCTAGTTTCAGTCAATCAGGGAGATGGATTTGAGACTGAGCCCCCATCTCCTCTGCAGCACCCGATTAACGCCTTCTTCCTTGGCAATACTTGTCTCAGTGATTGGCTTTCTGTAGAGAGAGCAGCAGGACCTAGGCCAAATGCCTGGTATTTCGGGAACAACGGGATGACCTTCTTAGAATTCAGAGATAAATACATTCTCTTCCTTTTTTCTTCCTCCTTCACTCTTGATTTTTATTACTTCTTCTGGGAGCCATTAACGTCCTCTGGTTTTTGGCTTTTCTACAGTGTTATCTTACTTAATCAACAGGACATTCTAACATGCTAAGAACAAGAGTGGGATGGTTTGAAGCTTAGTTGAGGACAGTCTCAGAAGAGCTGAAAGAGAGCAGATATACCCCAAAGCAGGGGGTGGAAGGCAGCCTGGGTAAGACTCCCATTCTCAGGTCCCACCTGGGACAGAGCCTAGGAAGCGATAAACTTAGGAGCTCATCAGGGCAAGCTGAGTTTGAGTTCTTTTTCTTTTTTACAGATAAGGGAACTGAGGCATGGTGAGGGTTAGTGGTCCAAGATGACATGGTGAACTGGGGGCAGGAATGGGGCCAGAGTGCAGTGTTGTGATTCTGACCATATGCCTTTCCCTGAAGTTCACTGGACATTGGTGGATGCCGCTTTGCCATAATTTTAAACGAAGCCATGTGTTTTTAGTACTTTATCCACGTTTTAGGCAGAATATAAGCATTTTTAAGAATTTATTTATTTTTATTTTTTGTAGATGGGGTTTCACCATGTTGGTCAGGCTGGTCTTGAACTCCCGACCTCAGGTGATCTGCCCGCCTTGGCCTCCAAAGTGCTTGGATTATAGGCGTGAGCCACCACGCCCAGCCCAATTTTTTTATTTTTGAGATGGAGTCTTGCTCTATCACCCAGGCTGCATTGCAGTGGCCTGATCTCGACTCACTGCAACCTCCGTCTCCCGGATTCAAGCGATTCTCCTGGCTTAGCCTCCCAAGTAGCTGGGACTACAGGTGCAGGCCACCATGCCCAGCTAATTTTTTTTTTTTTTTGTATTTTTAGTAGAGACAGAGTTTCACCATGTTAGCCAGGATGGACTTGAGTTCCTGATCTTGTGATCTGCCCACCTTGGCCTCCCAAAGTGCTGGGATTACAGGTGTGAGCCACTGCGCCCAGACAAAATTTTTATTTATTTTTGTTGAAATGGGGTCCCACTTTGTCACCCAGGCTAGAGTACAGTGGCACAATCGTGGCTCACTGCAGCCTTGACCTCCTACTTTTTATCTACTTTGCCTCCTACCAACTCCCATGCTTTCTCTGGAAGTCCTGAACCACCATGCAAATAAACTTGTTTTTCTTAACATCTGTGCAAGTCTGGAGACATGAAACTCACAGATTGCCTCATCATAGAGCTGTCGTACCAGAGATCTGTATCTTATTTACTGATAGGACAGATATGTTTGAAATCACCAGCATCACTCTGGGACAGGTGGAGGGAGGCGGCTGCTCACAGCCCACCTCCAAGGCTCCAGGACACACTCAGAGCAGTGACATTCCCATATGTGACAGCAAGATGGGAGCTGGACTCAAAACAGGTCAGAACCTTCCCATTCATTTGTCATCCAGTCTGGCCCCCTGAATGGTGGCCAGATTGCTTAAAAGAGACTAAAACCAAAGGCACGTTGTACATCTGATGTAACAGGTATTTTATAGCACAATATGCTTCTCCTCCCCAACAGACTTTTTATGAGTATGTGGAGAGGGAGGGTGTCTTTACAGGTAAGAAAGTGTAACTTTAATGAGATGGAAGCAATTAGCATTTAATTTGTGATTTACTTTTTTTTCTTTTTTTTGGGATGGAGTTTCGCTCTTGTGGCCCAGGTTGGAGTGCAATGGTGTGATCTCGGCTCACCACAACCTCCACCTCCCAGGTTCAAGCGATTCTCCTACCTCAGCTTCCTGAGTAGCTAGGATTACAGGCATGCACCACCACACCTGGCTAATTTTGTATTTTTAGTAGAGATGGGGTTTCTCCATGTTGGTCAGGCTGGTCTTGAAATCCCAACCTCAGGTGATCTGCCAGCCTAGGCCTCCCAAAATGCTGGGATTACAGGGGCGAGTCACTGTGCCCAGCCCTTGGTGATTTACATTCTGTATCCAAACACTTTGCCTTTGGAAAAACCAAAGGGCAGCTTCCATTACATTCTAGAATGATGTTCACCTTGATCCGTCCCAGGTGTGAGGGGATGGAGAGGTTCCTGTAGTTGGCCCTGTCTCAGGCAATGACCAGATCAACTTAGTTTCTCTCTGGTCCTCTGCCATTCTGGAAATTCCTTCCATAGGAATGAATAGACCTGAACCAGCCAGTTCCTCAGTCCCAGGAGGGAGCCTATGGCAGAGGGCTGCCAAGCCTTTCTGAAGCAGTAAGGGCAGCCCTGGCTGGAGACATTTGACATGGATTCCAGTGAGACCCCGCCTCCTGCTGCATCCTGCAAAGTCTGATCCTGCTCAGGAAAGTGGCTCAACTGGAAAGCGGAAGGGAAAGGGGCACACCACACGTGCCTCCCACGCACCCAGCCTAGGGTGCTGCTTGGTGACTCATGGTGACGTGGGGAGGTGGATGTCACAGATCATCCTGCTGGGTGTCTTTAGAAGGCAAGCACACTCAGGGTAGAGGGAGACCCTGGGGGTAAGGAGTACATACACGCTGAGAAAAGGACAATATTTTCTTGGTATACATTTCAGTATGGGATACACTGCCATCTGCCTGGACAGATGGATGTGTGGGGAAGCACACACGCTGGCATGTCCTGCCTCGGGCAGGCTGAGTGTTCCCTGTTGTGGCCTTGCCTACTCTGCGTCTGCGGTTACGGTTCCTGGTGTGCCAGGGAGAAGAGGGTCTTCTATACTGAGCCCTTACTGTTTATGGCAACTGCCTCGAATGGTCATTGATTTCAAACTTGCCTACAAGGCAGAATATATCCCAGAAAACCGAGGATTTTGTTAATGTTTACAGGCCCTCGTAGATCCCCACAGGGAAGCTGAAATAGTAATCCTGAAAATGACAGTGGGGGTGACCCCTTACCCACTCTGGGGGCTCACGCCTATGGCTCTGGAGGCTTTTGGTGGTTGACACAGAATTAAGAATAAAATGGGAAAGGACAAGTTTAAAAGTCAGAATATATTTCACTGAAAATATGTGTATGTGTGTGCCTTCGAGAGAGAATGCTCCCCAAGGGAGACTCACAGAGTTCCTTGCAACATAAACAAGAACTAGATGTAATGGTTTCACTCACTAGAAAACTAGCAGCATCATTTTGCGCCTGGGGCATTCCCCAGGGGTCACCATCCAGCAGCCACTCCCAGGGAGCAGAGGATGCCTGTCAGAACAGCTATAATTCATCCATCATGGCGAGCAAATCGTCCCCCTTGCTGGTGCTCAGGCTCGGCTGCTCCGTGATCTCAAACTCCCCCATGATTCGTGCCAGCTCCTCGCTCCGTTGCTGGTCCTATTAGGGAAATGAGAGGTAAAAGGGCATGAGGAGGGTGTGCTGGCAGGCCGCCTCTTCACCACTGATATGCTTCAGTTGCCCACCTGTTTGTCAGAAAAGGGACTGTAGTTACAGGCCGATGAAGATGGTCTGGGTTTTTTTTTTTTCCTTAATCAACATGTATGTAACCAAGCATCCCTGGCTGCTACAGAATAGCAGACAGGTGTAGTTAAGAAACAACTTTAATTTCAGCAGGGGGAATGACAATACAGCACTAACAGCTATATTGTAGTCTGATTCCTGCTTGAAAAAGAGGGTTTCTGAAGTTCAGCGTTATATAAAATGAAGAAGGGAAGCTGGGCACAGTGGCTCACCTTAGTAATCCCAGCACTTTGGGCAGATCACTCGAGGTCAAGAGTTCAAGACAAGCCTGGCCAACTTGGTGAAACCCTATCTCTACTAAAAATACAAAAAAAAAAAAAAAAAAAAAAAAAAAAAAAAAAATAGCCGGGCATGGTGGTGGGTGCCTGTAATCCCAGCTACAAGGCAGGCTGAGGCACGAGAATCGCTTAAACCTGGGAGGTGGAGGTTGCAGTGAGCCAAGACTGAGCCACTGCACTTCACCTGAAGGGAATAAGATGGACCCTGTGCAATCCCGTGTACACACCTGCGTAGCTTGTATGTTGATAACTTCATAGGATAACTCTTCAGGCCTGGTTAGCGCTGCTTGTCTGGATGAGATGGTAAAGAAAATGGGTGCAAAGTTAGAGTTCTCTCCCTGCCAGCATGGCAAACTAGCTCTTGCCTATTGTTTCTGCCTCATCTTCTGCCATTTCTCTTAAACTTTCTACCCCATCTCCCACCAGTATGCCCTACGATCTAGAAAGTCAAGTTCTTTTATGTCTCTGTGACTTTGCACATACTAAGCTCTGCCAAGAATGCTTCTTCCCTTCCTCTGCTTGGCAAACTCCAAGAACTAGATCAAACGCCGACTCCTTCAATCTGCCAGTGCAGAGTCAATCATTGTCCTCAATTACAGCATTCACAACATGGCACTGAAATAACCTATATATGGACATGTTCATTCTCCCACTAAGCTGAGAGCTTCCTGAGGACAGGCTCTAGGTCTTATACTCATCTTTGTGTCCCCAGGACTTTACATAGTACCTGTCACACAGAAGTAAACAAAAGAAGTTATTAATAGTTCAATGAATGGGAAATAGAAGGTGACACCCACCCCAAATACTTGGTTGTGAGGAGGATCATGAGATAATGCGTGCAAAAGTGCTCTGTAAACCGTAAGCACTGCAAATCACTGTGGCTGATTTACTATTGCTATTGGTTTTGGGTGATACTGTGATACTGTCTAATGCAGAGAAATCAAGCTCCCACCTCACTCTGGTTTCTTAACACACCGTCTTAATCTGGTCATCCTGGCTTCTAACACACCTTATTCAGCCATGCTCTGATAAGTAAAACATTATAACTCCTTTATGGCTTTATTATTATTATTTTTTAGAGACAGGGTGTTGCTCTGTTGCCCAGGCTGGAATGCAGTGACACAACCATAGCTTGCTTAACTTTAAACTCCTGGGCTCAAGCGATGCTCCCGCCTCAACCTCCTGGGTAGCTGGGAGGTGCACACCATCATACCACCTCTTTTTTTTTTTTGAGACGGAGTTTCACTCTTGTTACCCAGGCTGGAGTGCAATGGCGCAATCTCGGCTCACCGCTACCTCCGCTTCCTGGGTTCAGGCAATTCTCCTGCCTCAACCTCCTCAGTAGCTGAGATTACAGGCACGCGCCACCATGCCCAGCTAATGTTTTGTATTTTTAGTAGAGACGGGGTTTCACCATGTTGACCAGGATGGTCTTGATCTCTTGATCTCGTGATCCACCCGCCTCGGCCTCCCAAAGTGCTGGGATTACAGGCTTGAGCCACCGCGCCCGGCCCACACCACCTCTTTTGTTGAACGATTCCAGAAGGTTCAGGTCATTTCATCCTGGTGGGTTATTTAGCTAGGTTACTGAGTTTGTCGTTATTTTATTTGTGATATTTACACAAATATTTATAAGTGCCACCGGTTTGTAATGGTCATTTTGGGTTCTTGTCACACTTGGGATTTTTATATGTCTTTAACGAAACACGTTTAAAACATACTCTTCTTCTTCATCGGAGGTAAAGAGATTCAAGCGGAATCCAGGCTCCGGGCCGCTGGGTTTCTTAATCTCCATCCCTCCCATTAGCCTGGCCAAGAAATTCAGCTCTTCTTTAGCAAGAGGGTTTGGAGCAATGCTTTCCTGCAGAAACAGTTGCATGATTTTTAGCCACAAGAAGGCGATCACATTTCCTGCTAAAACCCCAGAGACACAGGTAGGTATTATAAAACAAGGTGAAACAATCGCTGTTTAAATTATTTCTGGATCCAAACAAAGCGCAGAAAGCAGGTTTAACCAAAAGCAAAACAATCACGTCGGAAGCAGAGGGAATGTAGCAACTTTGCAAACCAGAGATTTTCATACGGTCCCCATGAGTGGAAGCTGCAGGAATCCACATTTCTCCTCTCACTACCTTTCTCCTTGAAGGAGAAGAGTACGGCTTCTTTTCCCGTCAATCGGGTTCCCTCAGCATTTACGAGTGACCTCAGTCCAGTCTCCTTCCAGGGGTGCCGCCACACTGCCCTCAGGTGGTGAGGCCGGGAACACATCCTCGAGTCCGTTTCCTCCTCTCACATCCTCACCCTGCCTCATCCTGCGCCCTTTCCTTCTAACCTGGCCTCCCCTGTTCTGCCTCTCCTCTCACTCCACCACCAGTTACCTAAATACAGTTTTTGTCTCATTTCTCCCTGGCTTGAAACAAACCCCTGTGCTTCCTGTCGAGAGAACAAAGTCCAAATAGCTTATGCCCCTTCCTGCTCAGGCCCTGGTGTCCCTGTCCAGGTGGGTCTCTGCTAGCAGCCTCCATGACGCTGTGATCCATTACAGGAGCCTTGTGGAAGACGCTGCCACCCTCCTCCCGGGAACACTCCTGCCCCTCTGTCACCTTGGTCCGTGTGCGCATTTCTCCCTCTCTGCTGTTTCACAGTTTACCTGCTCTGGAGCGCCACTTCAATATCCCCGCCTCTGAAATGCCTTCTTGATCCCTGTCCACTGGACAAAAGCGCATTCCTCTGGCACAGCACTTTGCTCAGGATCTCCAGCCAGCCCTTCCTCCAACTCCTTCGAGTTGTTTCTAACGCCGTCTTTCCCAGGGTACTACAGGCCCCTTCAGGATGGGACCATATCTACGTCAGCTTTGTGTCCCTGGGTCCCCAGCCCACAGAAGCAGTTTAATAAATGCTTGTTGAATAGTTTAGGATTCCGTGATCTCTCTTACAGCTAGCTGGGAGCTGGTTCAGCAAAAATGTGTAAAGATGGAATTCAGAGAAACTGAAACCCGACTCTGACTTAGCTACCATGGTGCTATATAGGGAAACATTAAAAAGAAATGTTTTAACGATCAGAATACACACGAGTGCTGATGTCAGCCATCATGGACCTAATGGCACTGGTACTACGCCACTACACATGTCCTGGTGTGTGGTTCCTCTTAATTATGGTGGCTGAGCCACGCCTAAAATTACCTAATTAGTGAGATCACTGGAAGTCTCCATGAAAAGCTACAACTAAAACCTGCGTACTTACAAGGCGGAATGCAGAAGATTGCAAACAAAAAGGGAAGTGTTGGCTAGCTCCGAAATCTAAAGAGCTCCCACTCTCTCTTTATGTAGACGTCTGTATCTAGAGAGAAGCTATGAGTGTAGGGAAGGAAGGCAGATGCTCACCTGGGCCCATGAGGCTACGTTCTTTGATGATCCAGACATATGGGTTTCCACAGGCCGATTCGCGCTGTACCTGGGGTGACAACAGATAACAGTGACATCATGCAGCCCCTTTCCATGGACTTCCATCTAACTTGTAAGCATAGTTTGTAGCTTTTATTTTGTCACATTAAATAGCATCCAGAAAGGTGCTGTGGGTATAGAATGCAACTGAGTGTTAACCACTCAAATTTCACTTCTGCCCAAAGAAAAACACCTGGGGAAGCTGGCTGGCAATGCCTCCTCTTGTGAAGAGCAACGTGTATCACTGAAAAGACATGCAGCTTTACAGAAAGGGTAAGTCTTTCTGGATTTCCAGTGCAACACAGATTTTGGCTAGTTCTCTTCCATGGCTATTTCACATTATGTATCTTTTCATTCTGTTGAGTTGTCTTATGTTTGGCATTCCTGGGTGCCCTCTGAAAGGTCAGGTCTCTGTATGCAGTGTATCTAAGGGGAAATTACTCCTATTGTCAGCAGGGATTTTCATAGCAGAAGTCAGGCTGTATTTTAAAATGAAGTGACCTCTCTTGGACTTGAATTCACTCAGAGAAGGAGAATTTGCTTACATGTTAGTTCCCAGTTTCAGGACTCGGTCTCCATAAAGTTCAAAAGAACCTTCTTTGGGCGCTCGGACATAGTTTCCACCATGCTTGAACTCTATCCTCGTCACTTCTTCACCTTTGTTGTTGAACATTCTACAATACAAAGTATGACATGATGGAATGTTCCCCAAGCTTAGGTAGTCCTAGAGGCTTCTTTATTCTTTGTACTACAGAACAAAAAGGAATTCATGCACTCCTTCAAGATAAAGGTGCTGGTTATAATCATAATACAATAATTATATACGTGTGTGTGTGTGTGTGTGTGTGTGTGTATATATATATATATATTGTAATCCCAGCTACTCAAGAGGCTGAGACAGAGTCTCACTCTGTCGCCCTGGCTGTAGTGGTGTGATCGCAGCTCACTGCAACCTCTACCTCCCAGGTTCAGGTGATTCTCCTGCCTCAGCCTCTTGAGTAGCTGGGATTACAAGTGTGCACCACGATGCCCAGCCAATTTTTGTATTTTTAGTAGAGATGGGGTTTCACCACATTGGCCAGGCTGGTCTGGGACTCCTGACCTCGTGATCCGCCCGCCTCGGCCTCCCAAAGTGCTGGGATTACAGGCATGAGCCACCATGCCCAGCCACAATATTAATATTTACTGAGCATATGTATGTGCCAACTGCTTCGTAAGCACATTAGAGTACTCTTATCTTATTCATCCACACAGTAACCATTTAACAGATGAGGGAGGAAGTTAGTCCTGGGTAACTGGGTAACTTGCCTCAAGTCCATCTGCTAAGTGGTAAGGCGGGTATTAGAACCCGACTTCTTCAACAGCTGTGTTTTACTGAAGAAAGAAGAGGGCTGGGCAGACTGTGAGTGGCTCGGCAGTGCGGCTTTCTGTGTGTGGCCCGTGTGCTGATTTCCTAGCACCCCAAACATAGCTCTGATCATTGTTGGGAATTTACCTGATGAGTCCCGGAAGTTCAGTTCCCCAGGGAACAGGCCCAGACACTGGCAACACAAAGCGACCATTATTATTCTGAACTTTGTCCTTTAGAAACATGGATACCTGGAAAAATACATTTATTGTCATTTTTCTTGGTATGTTTTCATAGACATCAACATTCTGAGGGTGGAAAGTACGTAATCGTTTGGGAACATTACCTATGAGTTTATAACAATAAGAAGGGAGAGGCTGGGCGCGGTGGCTCACGCCTGTAATCCCAGCACTTTGGGAGGCCGAGGCAAGCAGATCACCTGAAGTCAGAAGTTCAAGACCAGCCTGGCTAATATGGCGAAACCCTCGTTTCTACTAAAAATACAAAAAATTAGCTGGACGTGGTGGCAGGTGCCTCTAATCCCAGCTACTCAGGAGACTCAGGCAGGAGAATCACTTGAACCCGGGAGGCAGGGTTGCAGTGAGCCGAGATCACACCATTGCACTCCAGCCTGGGCAACAGAGTGAGACTCCATCCCTCAACCAAAAAAAAAAAAAAAAAAAAAAAAGGGAGAAAAAATTATACTTGCAGAGTTAACTGTATTTTAACAAACAGAACTTTTTTTTTTTTTTTTTTTTGAGACAGGGATGCACTTTGTTACCCAGACTGGAGTGCAGTGGCATGATCTTGGCTCACTGCAACCTCAGCCCTACCCAGCTCACGCGATTCTCCTGTCTCAGCTCCTCAAGGAGCTGGGACCACAGGTGTGAGCCACTGTGCCTGGCTAATTTTTATATTTTTTGTAGAGATGGGGTTTCACCATGTTGGCCAGGCTTGAACTCCTGAGCTCAAACGATCTGCCTGCCTCGGCCTCCCAAAGCGCCGGGATAATATAGGTGTGAGCCACTGTGCTCGGCTACAAACAGAACTACTTTTAAGCAGTGCAGCAAACCAGGTGAGTCATATTACTCCCATTTTAAAGACGAGAAAGCTAAAGTCGAGAGTGAAGTGACTTGCCCAAAGACAGCAGTAAGAGGCAGGGCCAGGGTTTGACACCAAGGGTGACTCCAAATTCTACCCCATTCTGTGGTTCCCTGCTTATTTTCCATGCAGCTGCAGGTCTTGAGCTGTAAGAACCTCATTATGGCTACATTCTAGATGAGGCAGTTCACAGGTTAAGATGCCTCCTCAGGGTCAGCCAGCTGGTAAGGGGCAGAGCTGAGAATTCAAACCCCTGTGATTCTGGCTCTGGAGTCTGAACCTTATCCACCTGGACAGAAAAAAGGGTGGGGCTGGGGCGGGAGGATCCAGCTGGCATTCAAGTTTGAGGGTCTTTCATGTGACTGGAAACACATTACACTTATTTCTCCTCCTGGGTTTGTGTACTCTATGTAGAGGTTTTGGTCACTCACAAATTAAACCTCAGAAAGACTGTAGCAGTTAATCAGTCTTACTGGGTCTTGGCTTCCTTATCTATAAAATAACAGATGTGCTTGAAAATCTCTTCAACTCTAATATTCTATAAGTTTATATCAGTAATATAATCAAGAATAAGCATGTTAGGTGGGCCTGGTTGCTCACGCCTGTGATCCCAGCACTTTGGGGGGCTGAGGCTGGCAGATCATCTGAGGTCAGGAGTTCGAGACCATCCTGGACAACGTGAAACCCTGTCTTTACTAAACATACAAACATTAGCAGGGTATGGTGGCCCATGCCTGTAATCCCAGCTACCCAGGAGGACAAGGAACAAGAATCGCTTGAACCCAAGAGGTGGAGGTTGCAGTGAGCCGAGATCATGCCACTGCACTCCAGCCTGGGCGACAGTGAGACTCTGCCTCAAAAAAAAAAAAAAGCATTTGTTGTGGGCAAGGTAGTGAAAACGCAAAGTGATAAGAATGTGTAAGCTGGCAGTTTGGCATACTGATGTTAGACTCTCTAGGCTTAAATATTGAATGGGCCTCTTCTGGGTTTTTGTTAAGTTACACAACCTTTCTGTGCATCAGTTTTCCCTTTGGTAAATGGGGGAGAATGATAGTTATAATAATAGAATAATAGTAATAATAATAGATAATAACTTGGTGGGTTACTGTGACAACTAAATCAGAGAATGTATAAAAAGCAAAGCCTGACACATAGTAAGTGCTCAATAAATGGTAGCTAATACTCTTATTATAACGAGTCTATTTGGACACAGGAAGCAAACATAAAATAGAGAAAAATAACACTATAAAGCAGAACATGCTGCATAGCAGGTGCACAGAAGCTTGTTGAGGAGAATGATTGCAGGCATGCCGAGAGTTTGTGGGGAGGCAGGCATGACTGTGTGCCTGGAGCTGAGCCTGAAGGAAGAAGGTGGGCATAGACAGGTCAGAGATGGAGATGAGCCGGTACAAGTTACCTTTCCAGGGGAACGTGTAAACTGGTTTGGTCAGAGGGTTTGTTGGATGACCTTTAAGACATGTTTAACTTTGAAATTCTGTGAACAAGGGATGTGAGGACAGGAAAGGAGAAAGAAAATTTGGAGGGAGAAGTGGGAATATTTATATGTGCTGGACCCTCTGTTAGCTTAATTTTATGAGGTTGATTATGGCATGGTAGATCTGAAATGCACAAATTTAGGTCATGTGTGTGTCTGTGTTTGACCTGAGGTTCTGCCAGTGGCTGGAGAGGACTGTTGGGTCTGTCTACTTGCGCAGACCCTCTGCTGGCCTTTTCTTCTCCCTCTACCTTTTCCTTTCCCAGGTGGCTGTGTCTCCTCCCACACTCTAGGGTTCAATTCTGTGCTGATGGCTCCCAGATCTCAAGGTCCCACTTCCCCTCCTTCCCTTGCATCTGACCCATCCGTCCCATTGCCTGTCACACATTTCCATCTACGGGTTCCCTAGGATGCACCTCAAATTCCCCCTGCTCAGAACAGGGGAAATTTGTCTTCCCCAACCTGCCCCTCCTCTGAAGTTCCCAATCTCAGTGAATGGCACCACCAGGTCCCCAAGTTAGCAATAGGCGCCACCCTCTCATCACCTTCCCATGTCTATTCAGTTGCCAAGCCTTTCCTCTCCACCCAGCTAGTGCTCCCCGCTGCAGGCCTTCACTGTTTCCTGCCTGCCCCACTGCAGAAGCCTCCTGTCTGGTCTCCCTGCCTTCCTTCTTGCCTGCTGTATTTTTTTAAATTTTTTTAAAGGCAGAGTCTTGCTCTGTTGCCAGGAGAATTATTTGAACCTGGGAAGTGGAGGTTGCAGTGAGCCGAGATTGTGCCACTGCACTCTAGCCGGGGCAACAGAGCAAGACTCCATCTCAATAAATAAATAAATAAATTTTAATAATTCTAGTACAGCTTTATTACCTTATTATTGGGAAAGCCTTTTTGTTTTTGGAGATGGAGTCTCACTCTGTCCCCCAGGATGGAGTGTAGTGGCGTGATCATGGCTCACTCCAACCTCAACATCCCAGGCTCAGGTGACTCTCCCACCTCAGCCTCCTGAGTAGCTGGGACTACAGGTGTGCACCACCATGCCTGGCTAATTTTCTGTAGAGATGCAGTTTTACCATGTTATTCAGGCTGGTTTCAAACTACTGGGCTCAAGCAGTCTGCCTGCCTGGGCCTCCTAAAGCTAGGGTTGCAGGTGTGAGCCACTGCACCTGGCCAGGAAAGCCTTTTCAGTATATGAGTTTTATCTTGTCAGAATTGGGAAATCAATATGGCTGTTTATGTTACTACCAATCCATAAAAATAATCCCCAAATATGCAGCCCTGATAACAATATGATACAGAATTTTTAATATTTCAAAATTGGTATTTTCTATTTAATGAAAAACAATCTTATTTGCACTTTCATTTTATTTTAATCAGTGACAGAGATCTTAATTTATACTGATGTTATTATTGCTTCATCCATAGCAAATACAATTATTCATGAGAGTTAAAAATAAAATTGGCATCACAATTGAAATCTATTTATCTTCCTTTGTCCATGGAAGGGAAATATAATAAGGTACTAAATATATTGCATTGCTTTCCCCACCTTTTTTTTTTTTTTTTTTGAGACAGAGTCTTGCTCTGTCTCCCAGGCTGGAGTGAAAGTGGCATGATCTCGGCTCACTGCAACCTCTGCCTCTTGGGTTCAAGCAATTCTCTGCCTCAGCCTCCCGAGTAGCTGGAATTACAGGCATCTGCCACCACACACCCGGCTAATTTTTGTATTTTTTTTAGTAGAGATGGGGTTTCACCATGTTGGCCAGGCTGGTCTTGAATTCCTGACCTTGTGATCCTCCCGCCTCGGCCTCCCAAAGTGCTGGGATTACAGGCGTGAGCGACTGTGCCCGGCTGCTTCTCCTTTTTTAAAATTGTATTTTACCCAGGTACAAAATTCAAAAGTCTCAAAAGGTAAACATAACGAAGAGTCGGTGTCTCTCCTACTCCTGTCTTACATGTAGTTCCCCACTCCTGGAAGGCAACACTGTGACCAGTTTCTTGCATATGATTCCAGAAGCACTCTCTCTATATATACAAACACATATATGTTACGTATGCTGTTTCTGTTAATCCTCCCAACAAAATTAGTTATTATAATTTTCATTTTTCAGATGAAGAAACTAAGGGTTATTTGCCCAAGGTCATAGAGCTAGTCCTATAGTTGTTATTCATTTTCTTCATTAAAATATTTTTATTTTGGATGGGTACCGTGGCTCACACCTGTAATCCCAGCACTTTGGGAGGCGAGGCTGAGGTGGGTGGATCACCTGAGGTCAGGAGTTCGAAACCATCCTGGCCAACATGGTAAAACACCATCTCTATTAAAAATACAAAATTAAAAAAAAATACAAAAATTAGTTGGGCGTCGTGTCAGGCACCTGTAATCCCAGCTGCTTGGGAGGCTGAGGCAGGAGAATCACTTGAACCCGGGAGGTGGAGGTTGCAGTGAGCCGAGATCACGCCACTGCATTCCAGAGTGAGACTCTGTCTCAAAAATTTATTTTAAGGACAGAGTCTCACTATATTGCCCAGGATGGTCTTGAACTCCTAGGCTCAAGTAATCCTCCTGCCTCAATATCCCAAGTAGTTTAGACTACAGGCACTCACCACTATGCCCAGCTCTGGAGTTGAGATTCAAAGAGAAAGGTGAAGCTGGGCACAGTGGCTCATACTTGTAATCCCAGCACTTTAGGAGGCCTGGGCAGGTGGATCGCTTGAGCCCAGGATTTCAAGACCAGCCTGGACAACATAGGAAGAGCCTGTCTCTACAAAAAATACGAAAAATTGGCCAGGCGTGGTGCCATGCCCCTGTAGTCCCAGTTAATCAAGAGGCTGAGGTGGAAGATCACTTGAGCCCAGGAGGTCGAGGCTGCAGTGAGCCATGACTGTGCCACTGTACTCCAGCCTGGACGACAAAGTGAGACCCTGTTTCAAAAAAAAAAAGAAAAAAGAGAAACAGGTCTGGCACCAGAGCCTGGGCTTGTTTAACCATATCATACCATCCTTCCCATATTATGTGGTTAAATAATGGGAAGAAACAAAGCCCTGTCCAAGAGAGATACGTTCAAAATTCAGAAGCTCAGATTTTTTTTTTTTTTTTGAGACAGGGTCTCACTCTGACATCTACTCTGAATCTTGGATTCATCACGGCTCATTGCAGCCGTCCTCCCATCTCAGCCTCCCAAGTAACTGGGACTATAGGCGCATGCCACCATGGCTGGCTAATTTTTGTTTTTGTAGAGATGGGGTTTTACCATGTTACCCAGGCTACAGAAATGTGTTTTTATTTTATTTTTATTATTTGTTTGTTTGTTTTTTGAGACAGGGTCTCAGCCCAGGCTGGGGCACAGTAGCATGATCTTGGCTCACTGCAGCCTTGACCTCCTGGGCTCAAGTGATCCTCCCACCTCGGCCTCCCAAATAGCTGGGAGTACAGACATGCACCACCATGCCCACTTAATTTTGTATTTTTGGTAGAGATGGGGTTTGTCATGTTGCCCAGGCTGACCTCAGACTCCCAGGTTCAAGTGATCCATCTACCTTGGCCTCCCAAAGTGCTAGGATTATAGTCGTGAGCCACTGTGTCTGGTCAGAAAATGTGTTTTTAAAAGTTTGAGTGTAGAATTGCCTGGCTATGTGGTCGTGGCAGGAGGAGAGGGGGCCAGTTGGGAAGCATAGCCCACAAGAGTATGAGGGCCTGAGCCAGGATGGTGGCAACAGAGATGGAGAGGAAGGAGTGCCAGGGCATGGTGGCTCATACCTGTAATCCTAGCACTTTGAGAGGCTGAGGGAAGAGGATCACTTGAGCCCAAGAGTTAGGGACCAGCCTGGGAAACACAGTAAGACACTGTCTCAAAAAAAAGGAAAAGAAGGTATGGATATTCACAAGGCCAAATCTATAGGTCTTTTTTATGTTGAGATGGAGTCTCGCTCTGTCACCCATGCTGGAGTGCAGCAGTGTGATCCTGGCTCACTGCAACCTCCACCTCCTGGGTTCAAGCAATTCTCTTGCCTCAGCCTCCCAAGTAGCTGGGACTGCAAGCACCCACCACCACACCCAGCTCATTTTTATTTTTTTAGAGACAGCGTTTCACCATCTTGGCCAGGCTGGTCTTGAATTCCTGCCCTCAGGTGATGCACCCTCCTTGGCCTCCCAAACTGCTAGGATTACAGGTGTGAGCCACCTTGCCTGGCCATTTTTGTATGTTAGTAGAGATGGGGTTTCACCACATTAGCCAGGCTCGTCTTGAACTCCTGATCTCAGGTGATCCACTCACCTCAGCCTCCCAAAGTGCTGGGATTACAGGCATGAGCCACCACACCTGGCCAACTCTATGGGTCTTAGAAGCAATTGGATGAAGATCAGGAAAGGGGAATCAAAGGTGACATTCCGGTTCTGGGCCAAGTGCGTGGGAGAATGGTGGTGGTGCCCTCAAAAGAAACGAGAAAGTCAGGGCAGCACCTGAACTGTGGAGATTAGTTTAGCTACAGACATCAAGTTGTAGGCACTGGTGGGCATCCTGGTGGGAAGTTTTAGCAGCAAGGTGGTGGAGATGTGGGTCTGGAAGGCAGGGGTGGGGCCAGGGTAGACTAGAGGTTAGACTCAGGAGGCACAGGCAGGGAGGTTGGTAGACAACAGGGCGAGGAAGGAGACCCCTAATTAGCAGGAAGTGGGTAGAGACAGGAGGAAGGTTTGGAGACAGGTGGAGAGAGAGGAAGGAGTAAAAGGCATTGAGATGGGAGAGGGAAGGGAAGGGAGGGCCAGGATGGTACGGAACCATGAAAGACCTGGAAAGGTGAGAGTTCCATGGAGTAGGGGCAGCCTCCTGACAGTGTGAGATACTGGAGCGGTCAAGGAGAATAAAGCTCAAGAAACAGTTTTGCAGTTGAGATCAGGCTGGTGACTTGAAAGCACATTTCCTCTGGAGAAGTAACACAATAAACCACATTTCAAAGAAACTCACAAGGTAATCAGAAAAGAATGGCAACATCACTGTCTTCCTTGGTCCATTTAAAAACTGCTGAGATTTATTATCAATATCTTTATCATTAGGGAGGCAAACCCTGAGGACATCACTAACTGGTCAAAATCTCTGTGCTTGTCTGCCCTGATGACTGCCAGGGTTGTTTTTTTGGTACAGCAGCTCCTGGGTGTTCCCGGGGCTGCCCATGGACTTACTCGGATGTGCAGATCTTGGAAGAAGATGAGGAGCGTCTGCCGGATCAGCTGGAACTCCCCTGCAGAAAGACCACCATATATCTGCCAAAGGCAAGCAGAAAGTAGAACTTCACTTTCAAAGAGGGATGAGTAATACGCACAGGTGGGGCGGGTGGGTGCTCAGGGATAGGCGCCAGATAGGCAAGGAGAGGACTGGGCTGCTGGGCAGGAGGAGCAGCAGGGGGACCAGCAGTGCTCCCTCACTAGGGTGACAAAGCTTGTTACCCACACCTGAGCAGGGGTATGCTTCCTCTCTCCCATTTTCCACAGACCTGGAGAGGCTGTTCCCCAAGATTTAGCAGAACATCCACCACCAACTCCCTTTCAGAGAAGTGAGGAGAAAATGGGTATGCTCTGTATGATTGCTTTTTCAACTGTGAAGGCAACAGTTAAGAGGGTGTAAGATGATGATCCCTATTACATTACCAAAATGGACACAGATAGATTTTCAGAACATTCTGAGACAGTGGCAGGCTTTGCCATTCCTCATCCTGTTCTTTGTGTCATAGAATCTTCCTGTTCTTAACAGAGGGATGAAAAAAAGGGCTGGGGCTGAGGGGCAAGAAACTGATGGCACTCTTACTTCTATCAGCTGCCGGAAAGTCTCGTCCACTTGCTGCAGGATGGTTGGGGAGTCTCGGATGAATCCCTTGATGGTATCTAAATGATTGAAAGTGACCAGCAGCACATCCTTGGGTCGGGGACACAGCAATACTTGATATTTGAAAGCCATAGTCATCAGGTCATAGAGCTGCTAACCCCACACACAAGCAAAAGAAATGGGATAAAAATCACGTTTGAGAATCTCCAAACAGTGATTCAGTCAAGGATTTACTGAAAACCAACTCTGGGCTTGCCATGCAGCTTGGGTAACCATATCACTTATCACCCAAACCAAGACACTTCTGAGAGTCAAAGCAGGTGCTATTAATAATTAAGCCAGGGCTGGGCATGGTGGCTCATTCCTGTAATCCCAGAACTTTGGGAGGCTAAGGGGGGTGATCATGAGGTCAGGAGTTCAAGACCAGCTTGGCCAAGATGGTGAAACCCCATCTCTACTAAAACTACAAAACTTAGCTGGATGAGGTGGCAGGCACCTGCAATCCCAGCTACTTGGGAGGCTGAGGCAAGAAAACTGCTTGAACTCGGGCAGCAGAGTTTGCAGTAAACTGAGATCGCACCACTGCACTCCAGCCTGGGTGACAGTGTGTGACTCCGTCTCAAAAAAAAAAAATAATAATAAGAATTAAGCCAGGACAACAGGAGTAAGCCAGCACATTCCTGTGCAAACCAGGATTTCCGGTCACCTGATGTGTATTGCTAATGGGGTACATATGAAATAATATCAGTAGCAGTGGAGTCCCAAACTGAGCACTGGAACTGGAGAAAGAAAATGCAAATTCAAGAACCCCTTTCCTCCTAACTTATTGTATGACCTTGACCAAGTTTCTTAACTTTGGGCCTGAGTTTTCTCATCTGTAAAAAAATACTCTCCAATTTCCCAATGTTGCAGAGGTGCCGAGAGGAATATATGAGGCAATATGTGTGCAAGTGGCAAGTATAGAGTTCTATAGCTGTGTAAGAATCACTTCAAGTGATGAACTGTGTGGATGTCAACAAGCCCTCTCCACATAGGTGTGTATGACCATCCATGAAAGATCAGAAGGGAGGAACTGGTGGGGACCAATGTGGTGAAGACAGGCTTCGTGGCACACGTGGCCTTACATAGCCCTTGAGGCGGCTGCAGGGTTTCAACCAGCTGAGGGCGGAGGAAAGGCATTCCAGTTGAGGGAAACGTACATGTGAGGGCCTGGAGGTAGCAATGAGTGTGTTATTTTTCTGGGAGAAAGAGGAGAATGGCCTGAGGACGGTTTGTGTTGAGGATGGCAGGTAATAAAGTTGGGTAAGTATGGCAAATAAAGATGACAACAATAGAAACTGGGACCACAAGAATGGGGAGGGAAGGAGGGAGGGGTCAAGGACTGAAAAAAGAACTACTGGGTACTATGCTGATTACCTGACTGATGGGCTCAGTTGCACCCCTGACCTCAGCATCACACAATATACCCATGTAACAAACCTGTGCATGGACCTCCTGTATATATACTAAAAGCTGAATTATTAAAAACAGAATAAAGGTTTTAGAGAGAGAGGCAAAACAATTTTGACTAGATGTGGTAGAAGTTAGGGGTTAGTTTTCCGAGCTGACATGATCACAGTGGTGCCTGAATGAGGTCTGGCAACCATGAGATGTGAGGGAAGGGAGAGATGGGTTAGGGAGAATAGCACCTGGCTTCTAAAAGGATTACAATAATTATCTACTGATGGCAGGAATGAAAGAAATGCTGTTGGAGTAATCCAGACTTAAGGACTGGAAAAAAGATAGTGGGAATGGAGAGTCAGAGAAAGGATCATCCCATATTTAGAAGGAAAAGCTGTCAGTAGGCGGTGACTGCCTTGATTTGGGGGATGATGATCAGGGTAGTCCAGAAGGACTGCAGCCTTTTCAGCCTAGTGCTGATGGGGAGGAATTATGCTATTATTAGTATTAGTATTATTATTATTTTGAGATGAGTCTCACTCTGTTTCCCAGGCTGCAGTACAATGGCATGATCTCGGCTTACTGCAACTTCTGTTTCTGGGGTTCAAGTGATTCTCCTGCCTCAGCGTCCTGAGTAATTGGGACTACAGGCATGAGCCACCACACCCAGCTAATTTTTGTATTTTTAGTGGAGATGGGGTTTCATGTTGGCCAGGATGGTCTCGATCACTTGACCTTGGGATCTGCCTGCCTCAGCCTCCTAAAGTGCTGGGATTACAGGCGTGAGCCACTGCGCCTGGTCGGAATGATGCTATTGATGGAGGAAAGAACATCTGGGGGATGTGGGAGCGGAGGAGCAAGGAGAGAAGATGGACAGTTAACTTACGGACATGTCTGGAGCAGGACTGAAACTATAAACAACTACCATTTGAGTGTCGTGCCAAGCACATGTATATATATTATCTCATTTGATCTCATTTATTTTTCACAAGAACTCTATGAGTTAGGTATTAGCCCAGTTTAAAAATGAGGAAGCTTGCCTAATTTCACATTGCTGGTAAATGCAGAATGATATTTGACCTCAAGACTAGAGGACTAGCAGGCCCGTGCCGGGATCCCCCTACTTTTTTTTAAAAAAAAAAAAAAAAAAAAGAAGGTGGCATACAACCAGAACAGCCGGCCAGGCGTGGTGGCTCATGCCTGTAATCCCAGCACTTTGGGGGGCTGAGGCGGGTAGATCACTAAGTCAGGAGTTTGAGACCAGCCTGGCCAACATGGTGAAACTCCATCTCTACTAAAAATACAAAAATTAGCAAGGTGTGGTGGTGCATGCCTGTAATCCCAGCTACTAGGGAGGCTGAGGCAGGAGAATCACTTGAGCCCGGGAGGTGGATGTTGCAGTGAGCTGAGTTAGTGCCACTGCACTCCAGCCTGGGTGACAGAGCAAGACTCTCTCTCAAAAAAATAAAATAAAATAACCCCCCCCCTCCAGAAAACAGGAATAGCCTGGTGTGTGTGCATGGGGGTGGGGAAAGTACAATACTGGAGATACAGATTTGAGACTCTCTGCCATCATTTTCAAACATTAAGTGCTCGTATATAGGACACCATGCTAGAAATAAAGGATAAAAACAGGTATAAGATGAAGGAATGACAGTTCAGAGTATTTCAGTAAATCGGGTCTCACAGCTAGTAACTGGTAGAGCTACAGCTTGAACTCACTTTTTTTTATTTTAAGTTCTGTGTCCTTCCACTATGGAAATTTAAACTTCCTTTTCTTTTCTTTCTTTCTTTCTGACATGGGGATCTCACTCTGTTACCCAGGCTGGAGTACAGAGGCGTGAACACAGCTCACTGAAGCCTCAGCCTCCCCTGCTCAAGCTGTCTTCCTGTCACCTCTTGAGTAGCTGGGACTGCAGCTGTGTGCCACTGTGCCCAGTGAGTTCTTTAAATTTTTAGTAGAGATGAGGTCTCACTATAGTTTTGTAAAATATGTTAAAAAATATTAGAGATGGGTTTTTGCTATGTTGCCCGGGCTGGTCTTGAACTCCTGGGCTCAAGTGATCCTTCCACCTGGGGCTCCCAAAGAGCTGGGATTACAGGTGTGAGCTACTGTGCTCAGTCTCTAAACTTTTTTAAAGGCAGAGAGAGAATAGCAAGCAGAACTGAAAAGATAATTAATATTTATTGAACAGCTACATGCCAGGCCTAGGTATGTTTCTCACTTAATCCTCCCAATAATTGATGAAGTAGCATTTATTATCCCCATTTTACAGATGAGAAAATGGAGGCTCAGAGAAGTAAAGTAACTTCCCAAAGGTAAGTGGCAAGAGGTAAGAGGGCACAGTTAAAGGCAGTCTGTCTCCCTGAGTCTTCTAAGTACTAGTAATAAGTAAGTGCTAATTCTGCAAATCTAACTCCCACCATCAGTCATCATGATTTTAAAATTTTTTCTTTCTATTTTTTTAGAGACAGGGTCTTGCTATATTGCCAAGGCTGGTCTTGAGCTCCTGGGCTCAAATGATTCTCCTGCCTTGGCCTCCCAAAGTGTGGGGATTACTGGCATAAGCCACTGCACCCAGCCTTTTAAAATTTTTTTTGTAGAGATTGGATCTTGCTGTGTTGCCCACGCTGGTCTTAAATTCCTGATCTCAATCCCAAAGCGCTGTAATTAGAGCCACAAGATGCTGTGCCTGGTAGTCCTCATTCATGTAATAGAGGAAGCTATAAAGGAATTCTTATTATATTTTAAATTAACTAAAAACCAAATTTTAAAGATTTTATTATTTTCCCCCTAACATCCTATTTCTGTTCCAAAATCCCAGCCAGGGATTTTTTTTTTGGAACACCACATTATATTCCGTTGTCATGTGTCCTTGGGCTCCTCTTGGCTGTGACAGTTTCTCTGACTTTCCTTGATTTTGGTGACCTCGACAGTTTTGAGTACTGGTCAGGTATTTTGTAAGCACGACTGCCTGACAGTATTTGTGTGATGTTTTTCTTACGGTTAGACTGGGGTTCTGAGTTTCGGGGAGGAAGACCACAGAAGTGAAGCACCATTTGCATCACATCATGTCAGGGTACATACTGGCAACATGACTCATCACTGTTGATGTTGACCTTGACCATCTGGTTGGGGTAGTTTATCAAGTTTCTCTACTGTAAAGCTAACTATTTCTTCCCTCCTTCCCATTCCATACTCTTTGAAGTGCAGCCCCCACCTAAGTAGTGGGGAGTTACACTCTCCCTCCCTCAGGGCAGAGTATATGCATAAATCATTTAGAATTCTTCCAAACAGACTTATCTGTCCCTTGCCATTTATATAGAATTATTATTATTATTAGTCAGAGGTAGATATATTCTTGAAGGAATTATTAAAGAATCAGAGCATTCCAATAATTTGTTTCCCAAAGAAATAGATATGTTCACATTATGAGTAAAGACTGTTTTTTAACTTGCTCTAAAAAATATTTGGTTTCTGCATTGTAGAGCTGATATTTGTGAGGAATGAGGCAGAATTAAAGTTTCAGGGTTGAGTGTTTTTTTTAAAAAACTTTTTATTTATTTATTTTTGAGACAAAGTCCTACTCTGTCACCCAGGCTGGAGTGCAGTGGCGTGATCTCGTCTCATTGCAACCTCTGCCTCCTGGGTTCAAGTGATTCTTGTGCCTCAGCCTCCCGAGTAGCTGAGATTACAGGCGCCCACCACCATGCCCAGCTAAGTTTTGTATTTTTAGTAGAAATGGGGTTTCACCATGTTGGCCAGGCTGGTCTCAAACTGCTGACCTCAAGTGATCTGCCTGCCTCAGGCCTCCCAAAGTGCTGGGATTACAGGTGTGAGCTACCATGCCCAGCCAGGGTTGAGTGCTTTTATTGTGTTAAGGGATGTGTTCCTGGGGTTCATAAATACGGGCATAAAAGCCAGCACTCTTGTCTAGATGCAGTGGCTCACACCTGTAATCCTAGCACTTTGGGAGACTGAGGCAGGAGGATCACTTGAGCCCAGGAGTTCAAGACCAGTCTTGGCAACAAAGTGAGACCCTGTCTCTAAAAAAATTAAAAAATTAGCCAGTGTGGTGGCATGTGCCGGTAGTCCCAGCTACTTGGGAGTCTGAGGCAGGAGAACTGCTTGAGCCTGGTAGATCAAGGCTACAGTAAGCGATGAGTACACCACTGCACTCCAGCCTGTATAACAGAGTGAGACTCTGTCTCAAAAACAAATAAAACCCAGCACTCTCTTTGGGCAGGTGGAATGACATAAACAACACAGAGGTGGTTGTGGATGACTTCTGAGGTCTTTCCCAACTCCAAAATTCAACAACTACTAGTATTTACACATGCTTATTTCTTGCATGGAACCACTGCATACATCATCTTCTGTGAGCCCAGGCAATGGGCAACCACAAAAGCTACAAAAAATGCAACCAAAATGACAAAGGCAGCTGTCTGCTCACCTTATCCATGCTGGCCTGGTTCAGTTTCATAATGGAGGCATGGGCCAGGCGCTCATAGATAGTCCTCAGGGCCTTCTTGGAGTAGAGCTCTTGGGGTTTGAATAATTCCTCCATAAACTTTCTATTGAACATGGTTGAGATGATGTCATTCAGAACTGCAGAGACAAGAGAGAATACAGCTGAGCAAGGTACTGAAGCAAGCCTATCCCGAAATGCTCTTTGTGTATGGGTACAGGGGCCAAGCGTGTATAGTACAGAATTGGATGTTGTGTGGCTGGTGAGATCAGCTCCCTGTGGGCACCACACAGGTGTCCTGGTAGAAAGCAGGGCTCTGAGAGTGCTTTATGATGCCATATGATGCCATTTCGGAGCAGACATAAATGACAACAAGGCACCAATGTGTTGTGGTTCGGAGATTATAAACTACTTAAATAAATATTATCTCACTTGATGGTAAGGGGAATATATCTTCTTTATTTAAAAAAGATTACTGGCTGGGTGTACAGGCTCATGCCTATAGTCCCAGCGTTTTGGGAGGCCAAGGCTGGAGGATCACTTGAGGCCAGGAGTTTGAGATCTGCCTGGGCAACATAGTTAGCCCGTCTCTATAAAAAATTGAAGGCAATTTGCTGGGTGTGGTGGCGGGCCTGGAGGCTGAGGCAGGAGGATCACTTGAGCCCAGGAATTCAATGCTGCAGTGAGCTCTGATTGTGCCACTGCACTCCAGCCTAGGCAACAGGAGATCCTGAAAAGAAAAGAAAGAAAGAAAGAAAGAAAATTCCTATAATTTTTAAAAGCAAATCTAAACATTTTTAATTAAAATTAAATATTATAAAAATGGGAACAACAATGACTCTTAATCACATCTCATGAAAATAGACAAGTCTATCCACTGGTTAGAGATTAAAACACTTGTAATGTCTGCACAAGACATGTACTTTTTTTGTTGTTGTTTTTCTTTTCTTTTTTTTTTTTTTTGAGACGGAGTTTCGCTCGTTACCCAGGCTGGAGTGCAATGGCGCGATCTCGGCTCACCGCAACCTCCGCCTCCTGGGTTCAGGCAATTCTCCTGCCTCAGCCTCCTGAGTAGCTGGGATACAGGCACGCGCCACCACGCCCAGCTAATTTTTTGTAGTATTTAGTAGAGACGGGGTTTCACCAT